TCTTAACAGCAGAAGGCGCTGTATGGCTTACAAACTGCCATACTCTGCTTGCACTGCAATTCCATACAAATACCACTTGAACCTAAAATAATTATTAAAGTTAGGAAAGGTTTAAGTGAATTACAAGTGTTCATAATGAGCGTTCATGTCTTTGATCGCATGGCATCAAAGCCAACTTGCATGACTGGAATGCAACTCTTCCTCCTGAGCATTCGAGTGTAGCTATTCTTAAAATCTGAACTAGAGCGCCATCTGCTGGTAAAACTAACTTAGAGCGCCATCTGCTGTTAGTAGCTAATCTAGCGTGCCATCTTCTTTTAAAAACTAATCTAGAGTGCCATCTGCTGTTAAAAACTAGACTAAGGCACCAACTGCTGTTAAAAACTAAACTAAAGTTCCATCTGCTGTTAATAACAAGCCTAGAGCACAAGCTGCTTGTAAAAACTAAACTAGAATGCCATGTGCCATTAAAAACTATTCTAGAGCGCCATCTGCTGTTAAAAGCTGGTCTAGAGCACAAGTTGCTGTTACAAATGGGTGTAGTATACATACACACACACACACACACACACACACACACACACATATATATATATATATATATATATATATATATATATATATATATATATATATATATATATATATATATATATATATATATATATATATATATATATATATATATATATATATATATATATATATATATATATATATAGGAAATTCTGTAAAATGTATTTGCTCTATTAAACAGCACTTGGTGGATTAAGCAGCAAGTGTATGCTCCACTTTGAACTACGCAGCATAAACGCACCCATTTCAATAAGTTGCAGCCTTTTGCTATTTTTTTTTCCTATTTTTTTCCACACAACACATTTCCAATGCCCATCCCCCAACCTGCCACAGTTGAGTCAGTGTTGTTATGTCCAGTCCAGTTGGCCTACTCAAATGCAGATAGCAAACTCATTTTGTGCCAGTAGCAGTGCAGAAATCACACATTTCACGGTTACGCAATCTCCAGCGATTCTATGCTAATAGCTCAAATCATGTCACAAGATGCACGGGCTTCCTCTGAACCCACCATGCTCCAAAACAACACCGCGTTATAGATCTGAACATGCAGTGAACATCATTGACCGCGATCTGAGGGTCAAGCAAAGGGTTTTCACAC